TGCAAGAATTTTTTTTCCGCCCAGGCGAAGGAGACAGATATTTTTTTCCTGTAAAAGTGCAGCGCAAGATATTTTTTTCCCAATATATTTGGCCGCAGGATATTTTTTTTTGCCTCTCATAATAACGGCTTACAGCAACTTTAGGCTTTCATATAGCTATCATCGGAGACGTAGCAGGGGTTTTCAGTCAGAGGAGGCCGAGAACTGAATCCCAAGAGGGGCCAAGGAATTTTCACTGTGCTTTATTTTATATGGTTATGTCTTAATGTTCCCCACACTAAAGCGTGCAAGTTTACTTACAAAGAATGTATAACTGCACCAAAACCTAAAACATGCAGGGATAGAGTAGAGTACTCGAAAATGGGGGAGGGAACAGTATATGAATGACCTGTAACCTTGGGGGGTTCGGGGGCATGCTCCCCCGAGAAAATTTTAAAATTTGAACCTCGGAAATGCTATTTCCTGCGTTTTCAGCCATGGATAATTATCTTAAGCCCAGATTTTCTCAGGGGGGGCAACAATTTTGCCAGGGAACACCACTGGCTATCGTATGTCAGAGGCTCCAAAGGCGGTAGAATCCCTGTGATGTTATCCACTGTTCACCCCGTGTTCTTTTAAGCAAATGTGCCTGCTCAAAAATGCAAAATCTTGCAAGCCTGTGGACACAATACTGAAGTGAAGAGCATCAGTAGAGTTACATGTAGAAAATTGCATGATATTTTTTTTTCTTGATTGTGTGCTGCATGATTTTTTTTTTCTTTCTCCTTGGGTTGCAGGAAATTTTTTTTTGAAATCTTCCCCCCCCCCCCCCCCCTCAAAAGTCAAATGGTCCGCCCCTAAGGGGAAAGGTCTATTGGCTGTCAAACATGATTTGTTTGGACTTCCAACATCACATGCTTTTACTGCAAACATTTACGTTTCAACTGTCAACTGTCAACTGTCAATATTCCAAATTTAGAAACACATTCATATTCAGGGGCGTAGCGCGTGTGTGTGTGTGTGTGTGTGGGGGGGGGGGGTGACACCCCCCAGTTTTAGTGAGGTAGTCTGTAAAACGCGAAGTTACTCGGTAATGGCAAGAGCCATGACAGCGGTCGGTAAAACAAATCGGTTCAAGTGGAATTTTGCTCCTCGGTAAATGGCTTTTAATAATCAATTAAATTAAATGAATGTTGTTCCTTGTTCTCTAATAAAGTTATGCAAAATGTACGTAATTCTTCAGTAATCACTTATATTAAATATCTACGCATAAGCATTGCAGCCCCTAATTTCCTATCGTGTTACACTTGCAAGAGCTGCGAAAACAGTCGGTTCTGATTGGACATGTTCAACTGTGCACGAAGTTTTGACCTTGATACAATGAAAGTATGGTATCCTATTTCATAATATAACAAACAATGTAAACTAGCCATACATTTTGCCAAACATAACTTCGGCCCCTTTGGACATATCTTTTTCGTAATAATATTATTGGAACCAGTGTCTTGGGATTTTCATCTTTTATTTCGGTATTTACACACTCTCCTCCGCAGAGCCTTACGAATTTTTAGTAAAATTGCGTAATATTAAGGGGGGGAGGACAAATTACGCAAGGTATGATGGGAAGACGGAAGCTTTGTCAACCATCGATCTCACCCCCCCGTCGCGCACCACTAAATATCCTTTACTATCCCTACAAATCCTAAATAATTCAGACTCTGCGGAGAAGAGTGGTATTTACAGTAAAATTATATCCTTTGTTATGACACTAATGCATTTCACTCTGACAAATGCTTAAAATCATTAACACATGTTATGCAAGAAGAAATGAATGAAGTAATTAAATGGCTAAACGTGAATAAATTATCTATAAATACAACAAAAACTAAGTATATAATTTTTAAATCAAGAAATAAAAAATGCGACATTGAAATCGATTTTAAACTTAATGATAACATTATACAACAGGCTTCTCATGTCAAATTTTTAGGTGTAATTTTAGATCGTGAATTAACATGGAAAAACCATATAAATTCGGTTGCTAAAATATGAATTAAATCTGCGGCACTTATAGCAAAACTACGACATTACACAAATAAAAATACACTTAAGTTGATTTATTATACATTGGTTTATCCATATCTTACTTATGGGAATCTAGTATGGAGTAATACGTACCCAACAAGGCTACAGAAAATACAGAATATACAGAAAAAAATTATCAGATTGATAAGTTTTAAATCGTATCTTGAACACACTGAGCCATTGTTTCAGAACTTAAAGATCTTGAATATCTTTAAGATCAATGACTATTTAAGTTGTTTATTTATGTACCGGTTTAAACGTCTACAAAACTTACCTGAATATTTTAGTGGCTACTTCGCACAGAACAATGAAGTGCATCATTACAATACTCGAAATGCTAACAAATTTCATGTAAATTTTAGTAGAACAAATTATGCAAAACATTCTATTGTTAACAAGGGAGTTAAGATATGGAATTCACTCGATAATGAAATTAGCAGTATTATATTTTATTGTACTTTTAAGAAAAAGTCAAAATTATTTTTCTTGTAAAATATACTTTGATTGTTATTATCTGTAAACTTTGTTCAATTAGCTCATTATATATATTACTTTTACTTTAAAATTTTCCTTACTCTATACTTGTATTTGTAAATATTCCTATATTCTTTCGACATTATATGATTAACTTACCATATAAAACAATTGTAAAAATATTATAGAACTAGGGACCTTTGAACAAAAAGCCTGAAAGGGTTTCATGAAGGCTCCTAGCCCGTCATATTTTATTGTATACTTTAGATTGTAAATATTAACTTTTTCATATGGGCAAATAAAATTCAATTCAAATTCAATTACAGAATATTTATATTTTAGCGCGGCGATCAAAACAATGCGCTATTTAGGAAAAACCGGAAATCGATTCTGTAGGTCGGCATGACTTGCACGTGCATCAATCGAGCTATAAACGTGCGTGCGAGTAAAAACCCGATATTTTGAAAAATTCAAAATAAATATTCCTACTCTGTGCCGTATTCAAACGAAACTTTGTACATGAAAGCGCTTGAATACAAGATGTATTTTACTCACATTGACTCTGAGCAAATTCTGAAGAGTTACTAAAGAATACTAAAGCAGAGTGCATTGTCTGTTAAT